ATGTACAGACACAGATGTGTCTGTAAATATTGCCATCACCTGCGTCTGTCGTCGCCGATGCCGATGCCGATGCCGTCGCCAGTGCCGGCGCCGTGCACTTTCCTTGTAAACACGATAAGTGGAGGGCAGTTTTACCTTTTGGCTTTATATTTACAGAGCTGATGAATATTCATAAAACACAGGTCAAGTTCGAAAATCAGCATGATCGGGCCATTATTGTAGAAGTTATGCTGTTTTTTCACTTTTCAGCATATATGCAACCTTGTAAACACATTTTAAGGAAAACCGTTAGGCATGTTGTCATGAAACTCACAGGAGTAATCAATCTTACTAAAACGCAGGTCAAGTTCGAAAATCGGCATGATCGGGCCACTATTTTAGTAGTTATGCTGTTTTTTCACTTTTCAGCATATATGCAACACNTTGTAAACACGATAAGTGGAAGGCAGTTTTACTTTTTGGCTTTATATTTACAGAGCTGATGAATATTCATAAAACGCAGGTCAAGTTCGAAAATCAGCATGATCGGGCCATTATTGTAGAAGTTATGCTGTTTTTTCACTTTTCAGCATATATGCAACCTTGTAAACACATTTTAAGGAAAACCGTTAGGCATGTTGTCATGAAACTCACAGGAGTAATCAATCTTACTAAAACGCAGGTCAAGTTCGAAAATCGGCATGATCGGGCCACTATTTTAGTAGTTATGCTGTTTTTTCATTTTTCAGCATATATGCAACACTGTAAACACAATATAAGAAAAACAGATAGGCCAATTGTCATTAAAATTGTCATTAGCAGTGGTCAGTCTTACTAAAACGCAGGTTGAGTTCGAAAATCGGCATAATCAGGGCATTATTTTAGAAGTTATGCTGTTTTTTCACATTTCCTCAGATTCAACTCTTAGGCATGTTAACAGTCTCATTATTGAACTAATAAGATACGTAAAAGTGTTTGTTTGACATTTCCTACATCTTTACAACATTGTTAGTTGATTATGTAAAAATGATGGTAAACTTGTTATCATGTATTGTGTAATTAAGTGTCAAAAAATGGAAATAAACTCACATCATTGCAGTTTGTCAGATTCAATCATTCACTATATTCAGATTCTCAGAATGAAGGAAATTGGACATTTAACACTATTCTATTGATATTTTTCCCATCTCATCAATTTTCTTAGTTGATCATATAAAAATTGCAGTAAACTGTTTATTTTGTTTCATGTTAAAAAAAGTGTTAAAAATGGAAATAAACCCATGTCAGAACAGTGCTGTCGTGTTTCACATTTCCTCAGATTCAATTCTTAGGCATGTTAACAGTCTCATTATTTAACTAATAATACATGTAAAAGTGTTTGGTTGACATTTCCTGCATCTTTACAACATTATTTGTTGATTATGTAAAAATGATGGTAAGCTTGTTATCGTGTATTGTGTAATAAAGTTTCAAAAATGGAAATAAACTCATATCATTGCAGTTTGTCAGATTCAATCATTCACTATGTTCAGAATATCGGAATGGAGGAAATTGGACATTTAACACTGTTGTATTGATATTTTTCCCATGTCATCAATTTTCTTAGTTGATCGTATAAAAATGGCAGTAACCTGTTAATTTTGTTTTATGTTAAAAAAATTGTTAAAAATGGAAAAAAAACATTTCAGAACAGTGCTGTCTTGTTTACATTTTGGCATTTTCAAGTTGTGACTTTGAAGTTCCATGGACCTGAAGACCTTTGCTAGTCACATTTTCTGAATATCCATGATACTAATATTTTATTATTAAAAATTGATGGTCATTATGCTGTTAAACATTATGTAATATTGCATCAAAATGTGAAAAAAACCTATTTTGGGCACTGCTCCCATAATGACCATTTAAGAAAAACCATGTCACTTACTGTTCTCAAACAATACAGTAAATATGTACAGATGTGTCTGTACATATTGCCATCACCTGCGTCTGTCGTCGCCATCACTGTCCCTGGCGCCGGCGCTGTGCACTTTCATTGTAAACATGATAAGTGGAAGGCAGTTTTACTTTTTGGCTATATATTTACAGAGCTGATGAATATTCATAAAACGCAAGTCAAGTTCGAAAATCAGCATGATCAGGCCATTATTCTAGTTTCTATAATGAAGTGCGTTACCTGATACAGTGTACCTTTATAGTCCACCTGTAACTTTGTTATTTCGATCAGTTTTTTTGTGAAAATTTAATTTTTCACATATTGGCATTTTGAAGGTGTGACTTTTAAGTTCCACAGGCTTGAAGACCCATGCTTGTTACATTTTCTGAAAATCCATGATACGTATATTTTATTATTAATAATTGATTGTCATTATGCTGGTAACCTATATGTAATATTGCATCAGAATAGAAGAAAACACTATTTTGGGTGTTGCTGCCATGATGACCATTATGGGAAAACCATGTTACTTATGATTGCCAAACTTTCAAAAAAGAAATACAGGGCTAAAATGTAGCCTGAGTTGGAAAAGCAGTCTAATTGACTTCTTTTTCTGGAAGTTTTACATTTTCAAAGTGAGAACTTGAACTCCCATGGGCCTGAAGCCTTATGCTTGTTACACAATTTACTTACATTGGTATTACCTGTTGAGCATAATTAAAATTTGATGTTGAATTTGCAGTTTAACATAATGTACTTTTGCATCAGAATTGACAGTAGCCTATTTTGTTATTTCCTGCTTTTTGTCTGTACATTTGACAGCTTTGCTGCCTTGTTTTTTNTTTTCGTACTTCTAAAATTTGCGGTTGTCCTTAGGAAAGGTCAGTAGCATCCAGATTTTATGTCTTTCCCTTCTGGTAAAACTGCTGGTTAAAGAGGCGGAGTATTTTGGTTGTTTCTTTTATTGGAAGGCAGGGGTATTCTCGTCCTATCAGGGATATTTTTGGGGAAAATCAACCATGTTTTACAATTTTGGTTGGTCCATTGAAATATTAAGACTGGAGGAGGTATGGAGGGATCTTTGAGAATGAATAGCTATAAATGTCATCTAGATTCTGTACCAAAACAATATAAAATATTGTAAGGGCTTAAGACATAGGTTAAATGGTCAGATGTTAATGTTGAATTGTATAAAGGTCAAGTTAAAATAGGTCTGGACAAATGTACAGTTCCCATTAACCTCCTGAATACTGAATGGAAGGGACCATAAAGTGCTAAAGCACAGAAAGTACCTTTACTGCAAAGACATTAGCGGATGCCGTGCATGCTGGGTATTCTTTGAATTCGAAACCTAGCCAGTTCTCAGTTAGGTAGCAGATCATTGGACTTCCGAAAACAAAAAAGAGGTACATACCTGAAGTCATTGAAGTCTGCTGTGGTATTTGACAGATCTCCAAGTTTGGTGTCTATGTGTTGACTTACCAATGTGATAGCACCTTCAAACATATTGCATTGTGAGAGAGGACCTAGTTAAAGGAGTGCTCAGTCTAAGCTTGGGTATTTCATGAAAATTGGATTTACCAAATGTTTTCTGGAATTTTGGGACTTAAAGCTTTTGGATGAAAAAATGTAGAACTGCATTAAGTGTTCCATGCTATTGGTTTAAGATTAGGGGTGGATTTTGGCAGATTTTTACTTGAAATTGGGACTTATTTCAAAAAAAAAGTTCATTTCCAAGAATGTTGGAGTTAAGTATAACCGGCTCGTAAGCTGTACACAACAGAGGATTTAAAAAAAAAAGGAGAAGATATTTTGATAGGAATTACAGAGCTAAATCTTTCAAACCCTGCAATGGAAACAGCAGAAGGCCGACCTTTTTTCACACTGGAATGAGATGATAATGTCAGGGCAACACATCTTCAACAGATTTTGACATTATGTCGCCTAGAATTTGAAAACGGCAGATGTGAGCCCTAAAACATGACAGGGTCAGGTATAGAGGCCAGGCATCTTGACAGGATTTTCAGAGAAGACCTCAGTGGAAGTTCGTGTGTAATGTCGTGCTGGCAGATATGTTGGAAACATTAAACATGGCAGGGTATCATCTCAGACAGTTCAAATTTACAGTGGACAAAGATAAACTGACAAAGGTACAAGTAATATGGCTCGAGTAACTTTACGTGTTAATTCTTTCTCAGTGGAAATTGTATTCCAGGGGGAAAACTTTTGATTTTAGTAGAGCATGAGATTAAGAGACAGCTGATATTGGTCGTGTCAGTTACAGTACTGAATCCTCTTACTTTATTACCGATGTTTATGTTGGTTGCTTAGCAAAGGCAGATACTCTGCAAACAGTTTAAATTAAGAATTTTTTTTAAGAATCCTAAAAAAAATTGTTGTGCATGCTGGATTTGATGCTTATAAAAATTGAACAATAGTTTTGAGAAAGGCAAAATATTGAAAGAAGGATGTCCTGTCAGGATGTGGAGAGAGAAAGAGGAGCAGGAAATACTTGAACATTTTCCTTATGATATCCTTGTTTAGTTTTCGCTGGTAAAATTTTAAGTTTTCGGTACCTTTGGTATGGTTAAGTTCAATTTGTCATTTCCTGAGGCAGTAGGAGAAAAAGTTCACTTAGTCAGATATATTTTCATACCATTTCAAGACCTAAACTGGGATGGGATTGCTTAAGAACATTTAGGACAAAGAGTTCAGACCAAAACATTGTTTTTGTAATTTAAAGCAAGAAAATCCATTAGGAATTTTTCATCTGCCAGGACCATTTTAATGGAAGCCTCTCAGCATTGTTTATGACAGATAACAGAGTTTTTTTAACCAACAAAGTGGCCCAACCTCATGGTTGCTGTGGAAACAGAAGGTAATGCTTAGAAACACTTCAGTACTTCTGATAGTTTAAGGAACATGGTGTAACAATATATAGATTTTTTTGGCAGAAATGAGAAAGCAAAGTCCAGGTCTTTGTTGTAAGCACATTCCAGCTATTTTAACCTTATTGAGTGAGCAGTGAGGGTTGTCACGTCTGCTTAGGTGGGTTACTGTAATTTTTTTGCAAATCTGTTATTGATATATTGAAAAGAAACTGTTCCCAATGAAGTAGGTTTTACAACTTTTTGTAACTTGGTGCATTTTGATAATTTTATGTAGTCATATATCTGTAATGGTCTCTGATATAGTACAAAAATCTTAAAAGGACAGCTGAGATATTCTTCAAAATGTGCCCAAAAAAGGTATTTTGAGTACTCTGCAAAAGGTGTGTGTGAAAGCATAGTTTGGCTTGGCTAATGGACTGAAATCCAATTATGACTGTTTATCTTTGCTTGGTGTTTTGTGATTGTTTTACTGTGGACAGAGTCCTCACAGTTGGAGTGACCAGACTTTAAACTGTGGGCTATCAGGGACACAGTGGGTTGCTAATAGCTAGCAAGAATGTCTGCTCTAGATTGGCTGTCAGAGGAATGACATGTGACCTATGACTGGCCTGCTCTCTGGTGGTGATGTCTTTTGCCGTTTGCTTCCAGTGTTCAATTTTGGAGGGAAATTGGATTCCTTGAAACATAATTAGATTCAAACTTGGATGTTTGGTGGTAAAAATGTACTCTTGAAACTAAACATGTATAACTTTTTGAGTTGTACTGCAATCATATGTTTTCATCCAAAATTTGATGAATTTCTAAATTATATTTATTTTCTGTCAACCTCCAGACTAAGTTAGAGAAGTGCCAAGACTTGATTGAAGAAGCCAGTCTGCTTGCAGAGTCCGAGTCCTTCAAAGAGCATACGGGTATTCGTGAGGTTGCACGCACATTGAAGAGACACATTCATCACTTTACAAGTCGCGTGGAAGAGACGCGGGAGAGGATTGAGATTCAGTCCCAGTGTTATCATCTCTTGGATAAGGTGAGAGTGTTTTCTTTTTTATTTATTTATTCATTTACGTATTGTTTTTTAATTGCGGGGGGAGGGGGGGGGGGCAAAGCAATTTTTTTTCATCCATTTGTATAGTTTTAACATTAACAGAAATACTTCAAATGTGTGCATTTAGCAAAAGAAATTAAACAGTGCTTTCATAAAGACATGCACTTACTAATGAGAAAGTTGAACAAAAGTTAATCTTTGATGAAATCACCAAAATATGAAAAATACATATATTATTTAAGATCCATTGACAAGTTGAATAGCTTAACAAAGGAAAAAAAGTAACATGATATTGTTAGTTAACCCAATTTACATTCTTTCCTCCAACTCCGCGACCACCACCCAACTTTAAGTAAGCCATTTTATTTTTGCCAAACAAGATTAGACATTGGATGAACTAAGTGGATTTTCAGCACAAAGTACACAACTTATAAATTTGATTAATAGTAATACTCTTAAGTGTTAACTAATGTAAACCTCTGCTCTGGCCTCTTTTGAAAATAGCAATACAGTAGAAATACAAGTTAAAGCATTATAAAAGAGTTAGGTCATTTTTTTTTCTCTTGTGAGTATGTTTTGGAACCAAATCTTTTGTCAGTAAACTTGTGTCTCAAAAAATAATTTGCTTTCTGAAGAGTCTGGACATTTTGCAGCAGACGCCTGTCATGTGTAGAAAGTGATCCCAAGGTCATAGTTTAATGGCCGCTGTGGCAGCTGTTCACAAACCCAGCTTTGAAATGACTTGAGTCTGTGACAGTTATGTGTGTATGTAGGCAGATACAGGCATGCAGTTGACTACGTCATTTTGATGTGGCAGCTGTTTCACTGGAAACTTTTAGAACACGGAGAGCAGCTTTTTTTTAATCTAGACAGTTACAGGAGCAGATGTCTGTGACAGGTTTGTTGCATCACAACATGGAGATGTCTAAATTTTCTGGTAGTTATGAATGTGTAGAACTTGAGCAATGTCAGGTACACATGTAGCTCCATGTCATTTGGCAGAAAACTACCAGTACAGGAGATCTGCTTGACTGTCTGTTCAACAACAGCTGGAGCCTGTTATATTGAAATTTTTGAGGTTCATTCGCTCACAGCTTGAATGAAACCAGTCTTGTGCTTTAAGTCTTCTGTGGTAGTTTACATTGCAGCTGCAAATTTCTTTTGATGCCATAATTTTGGGTTTTTTGGTTTAAATTTGCAAAGCATTATGCACAATATTGCTAAAATGATGCAACAAATTATCTCGATTTAGCAGAAAATAAGATGCCAGACAAGAATTTAATGTACGCTCTTTCTTTCCACAGGCTTATGAATGGGCATTGGAAGCCATGAAATATGTTGCCAGCATGAAAATGGACACTTGCAACACCATTGAAGGCCTTGAAACATTGAGCACCAGTTTAGCATCATACCTAAAGAACCACCCCCCTATAGGGGGAGACACCTTTGATAAGATGCAAGACTTAGCCGTTAGGCTCAAAAACGAGAAACTCCAAGAACAGTGCAAAGTGGCACGGTCTCGGTGTTTAGAGACCGGGGAGTTATTACGGGTACGCCAGCTTACACTATGTAAAGCCAAGGATCAGTTAATTGTAACTCAAATGAAAAAAGACAGTGAAGGGAGAAAGCCCTTGGTGATGCCGGAAACACCACAGATGAGACGGAGATATAGTCATGCATCAGATGGATTAGACAATAATAAAGTGTGGTTGCCAAAATCTTCAAGTACGCCTGTTAGTCAGCAGCAATCTTTGGCGCATATTCGGCGGAGGTCGTATGCAGGAATGCCCTCCTCTCAGCTGATGCAGCCAGGGAGCAGAAACAGTGTTCAAATGTTCGGGGTTTCCCCTCCCACTTACAGGGACAGCATTGGAATGAATCTCTCTGAATATGAGGAGCAACTCTTTAACGAAGGACTCATCACTGAGGATATGTCACACAGGGTGGTGACGTCCATTCCCAGACCACGCTCACGGGAAAACCTTACCAAAGATGATGTGGATTCCGCAAGCATCTCTTCCGAATCCACAACAACATCATCCTCAACCACGGTGTCAATGAACAAAAAAGACAGGATTTTGAAGCCTCTTAGAAAAATGATAAAAACACACAGTATGCCTCTATTCACAAACTTAGGTGGTGCTAACTCTTCAATGTCAACGTCAGCGTCATCATCCTCATTATCTCCGCAGTGTGTCCAGCAGATGGCGCCAATTGTGGAGAGGAGGCAGGCTGATAGTTTGCTAGAGAAGAGGCAAGGGAAATCCATCAGTCTAATTACAGGGAGTTCTGACAGCTTACCTAGGTGAGTAACTAGGCTAGGCATGTACAGGCATATATGTTTTTTTCCAGTGTCATTAAAATTGTGTTTTCCTAGAATTGTGACTCTTACCTTGTGAAATGTACTGTTGAGTAACATGAATTTCCCATATATTCTGTTCAACATTCATGGAGTCAGGTGATACAAGCTTGTTCAATTAATTTCCATAAGTGACCAAAATAAAGAGGAAAGTTAAATTTGATTCTGAATATTCATGGCAACTATTTGTGGTCTGAATGTAGCCACCAACTAACAGAGAGTCCAATTTGACATTGAGTTTTGATGTCTTTGTTATGTAGTCTACCAGAAGAAGAGGAACCCCAGGTGACAGAGCCCCGTAAGGAGAGCTGGTCCCCAGTTCCTGTGAACACACATCTCATCAGTAAACCCCATCACAGCTCCATGTCTGATCTCAGGCTGACAGAGGCGGAGATCAAGAGCAGACGGTAGGTGCTGATTTATCATAGAATACACACAAATACAGCAATAGCTTAATATTGTTGAATGTCTCACATTTTCTATTATTTGGCCTTTTTAAGTTGTATAATTTTCAGAGACTCAAAATAATGCACAAAATGCCAAAATACCTTTTTACAACACTTGAATGAACTTATTTAAGTACTACCTACAAAAATTTTGTGTATGTGTAAGGAATTTTTTTACTATAATTACTCTAGGCTTTACACTCTGCAGTTTTGATTTTTTTTTTTTTTTATTTTAATAAATTCTGGATAGAATCTGTTAATGAAGGCATTAGAGAAAGCATAAACTTGAAATGACTTACACGTTGAATAATTTTGTGAAGGAAGGGTACAATAAAATAAATATTTACTTCTTGAAATGCTTTCAATTTGTTTAACAATATTCCACCTGTGACTTCAGAACATTGAACCTTGTCATGCGTGAGATGGTCCAGACGGAGCGGGACTATGTCCAGTCCCTCAAGTATGTGATCCAAAACTACATTCCGGAGCTGGAGCGGGATGACGTGCCTCAGGCGCTGAGGGGCAAACGCAACCTCATCTTCGGCAATATTGAGAAGATCTACCAGTTCCACAGCCAATATTTTCTCCAAGAACTGGAGCAGAGTGAAGGGTCTCCATTCCAAGTGTGCCAATTCTTTCTACAACATGTAAGGAGCTTTCCCCATCTTTGACAATTTATATTATGTAATGTTTCTTATAAAATAAATATTTTCAGAACATGATTTTATTTTCCTGGCACAAATACGAACTTGAATTAACTACCACTGAAAACCACTACCTTGTGTTTAGTAATTGAAATTTTATGCATTAATTTTTGCTGGTTATTTTTCAGGAACCTCAGTTTTACCTGTATGCCTTGTACAACAAGAACAAACCCAAGTCTGATGCCTTAATGCAGGACTACGGCAGCAGGTTCTTTCGGGTAAGGAACAACTCTAAATGAAAAATAATTTCAGGAAGTGATAACAGGAGGAGATAGATAATAGTTGGGGAAAAAATTGTTTCTATAAATGTTGTGCTCCG